CAAACACACACCCAAATGTACACCAACACACACATAAAGGCATACATTTCTTCATCTTTCCCAGTCTTTACATATCTACTTCAAGATCTCATTTCTTCTCACTTATAATTAAAATGGTCTTCTAACCGGTGCTCCTGTCTCCCGTTAGTCTCCAGTCATTGCAACCTCTATACTAGGGTCACATTCACGAAGACTATTTTGATCACATCAAGAAAAGAGATACCATACAGAATGGGAGAAGATCTATGCCAGAGGTTCAATTCTAGAACATACAAAAAACTTTAAAACCTTAAATAATTCATTCAGTAAATGGAAAAATAATTTGAGCAGACACTTCTTAAAAGAATAAACACACCCAGTAAATTTGTAGAAAGCACTCAACACTTCCAGATGAGGGGAATGCAACTCAAGACTAAATTCCATCCAACTGCAAACAGAATAAATATTACATTAAAAAAACAACTGCTGGTGGAGATGGAGGGAAAACAGAACCCTTATACATTGATGGTGTGGATCTATGTTATTGTATTCACCATGGAAATCCTTATGGAAAGTCTCACAAAACTAAAAGTAGGGGTATCTTACGGATCCATCTATACCACTCCTGGGCATATACCAAAAAGTAATGATGTATGTATATAGAAGAAATGCTTGAGTACTGAACGAGCTTATTGTGGTGCTATTTATAATAGCCAAGCTATAGAGTCTATTGAACATACATCGCTAGATGAATAGATTAAGGAAATGGAATGTGCATACTCAATGGAACATTATTTACCCAAAACAAATAATAAAACTACATCATTTGCAGGAAAATGGATATAATTAGTGGTTGTCATGTTAATAAAATAAATCAGATACAAAAAAGCAAGTACTGCATGTTTTCTCTCAGATGAAATAACCAGGATTTAGAACAACAACTTTAAAGTGGTAGAGTGATTCCTTAGAAACAGGGAATGAAGAAATGAGGACGGAGGGACAAGAACCATGAGAGCACATGTAAGAGAGTGAATGCATTGTATGTACGGAAATGTCACATTGAAACACATTAATATGTTCACATTAATATGAAATACATTAGTAATTATATAATATGGTGTATAAAGAAATGCAATTAACTTAGCCTCTAGATGGAGAATGTTCGACTAGACATCAGTTGTTAAACCAAAGCCATTCTCTTCCCTGGAACTAACTGCCCACCAGTTTCAGAGCATAGGAGACACACAAGCCCTGAGCATTTCTGCCCAGGATGGGACTCCAATAATACAGTGGGAAAACATTCTCTGCTCAATTTTGTTTCTCCTCTTTCGTCTTTATTGTCTATGAACCACTTAGTGTACTAAGGCTCTTCTCATTTCTCCCCAGAGGACCAAAATGACACACCCAGTAAACAACTAGGCATGCCAGTTGGTGACTGAAACTAGAGCTGAGGTGATGCATTCCAATGATTATGCTATGTAGTGATCAGAAGGCTTCACTCTGGAGTCCAGGTTCAAATCAAGGCTCCTCCACGTATCCATCATAAACTTATACAAGCTCTATTTACTTTTCAGCATTTCATCTACAGAAAGGGAATATTAACAGTAATTAAAGGCTGTGTGAAATAGTTCAGCTAATGTACTTAGCATAGGGGCGGAAGAGAGGGCTCAACAGTTATGAGCATTTGTTGCTTTTGCAGAGGACCCAGGTTCAGTTCCTAGCACCCTCATAGTTGGCCCACAGCTGCCCGTCACTCCAGTTCCAGGGACTATGATGCCCTCTTCTGACCTCTGATTGCACTAAACAGATACAGTACATATACTCACGTAAGTAAAATAAATAAATAAATATTAAATATAAAACTACCGAGCATAGTGCCTGTCCCACATCCGACAGACAGAACACACTCAATAAATGCTAAAGATCACACATGCACACACACACACACACACACACACACACACACACACACACGAGATTCTTTTCAGACAGTTGTTTACTTCCTCAAAGGATTTCCCATAGACTCTATTAAGGCAGGTGAAGAGAATGAAAAACAATCTGAAATCATCCTTACCATTTGTTTCTCAATTCCCCTTCCGATCACTTGCAGTGTGGCTCCCCTTTCCCACAATCCCCCACCCTCTTTGTCCACACTCTCATCATTGTTTCTTCCCATCTCCCCCTCTTATCCACCCCGAGTGGCCATTCCTTCTCCTTTATAACCCAGTGCGGAGTTCCTTCCCATCCCAACTGTGATCATTCCTCTACCGACAAACCTACAGACTGTGTCATCTGGAAACCAAGTAGAACAAATGGAAAATAATGTACGTCTCCAGCTGTGCTGACGTTCTCTGTGCCTCCATATACCACTGCTATGGAGAAAAAGTCTCTCTATTTCTATAGGAAAAAAAAAAAAACAACCTCCCCCCTCCCCCCCCCTTTTGTCCCAGTCCAGGAGATACTTTTACAGTGTGGTGCTTAGTCAGGGGTTTAAGAATGAATGTTTTCAGGTGAAGATGTGTGGTCAGTCTACAAGGTACATTTTTAACATATCAGATGTGAGCTGTAAAAATGAAATATTTGGCCAAGCAATCTCAATTCTCAAAAGAGGACACTATGGTATAGGAGAAAAACGTGTTTTTTTATTAATCATGTGAGTCAGGGAGTCATACAAATGGGTTTTATAAAATAAAGCCTGGGTCTATCGAGCATCTAAAAGTGAGTGGGAAATCATAATCAGGGACAGATGGCAAATGTGGCATTCTTTCTTTTCACTATTGAGTACTTATGATATTTCCTACTAAATAGCACTGAATGTTCGCATATTACCACACAACTCTATAAAAGCTTAGAAAAATGAAACCTCTTTTATTACCATAAAACTGACTTCACACAAAACTGCCAACTTCAGAAGTAGAGCAAAAGTGTTTTGTAATATGACTGAGTGCAAAAAATGTTTTTACAGTTCTCAATAACATATATATTAGTATATTATAATACATGCAAAATTGCTACTATTCTTCAGTTATTTAAAGCCATCATCAAGATATTTATATTCAAAGGTAAGATTCTTACATGATGTAGAACACAGTCAGATGTATTTATATAACTGGAAATAAATAGTACCTAAAGTGAAAATCAGTTATGTACAGATCAATATATGAACATAACATCAAATGTCTCACACTTGGTTTTAAAGGTTCCTAATACCTGTGCTCTTTCAAGGAACCACCCCTATTATTGAAATCCACTATACTACTTTCAATAATCATTAATTGGACATTGTTGGTAAAAAAGAATCACTATTAAAAGTTATATAATTAAAAAATCACATGTAGTCCTATTGAGTGCAGAGCTAAGTTGTAAAATACTAAATTATGAAAAATAAGGAGACGTGGTATTCACACTAACTTTCAGGAGTATTCGTTTTTTATTGTTACAACTTCATAAACTGTGTTGCTGGAGTTGACAATCATCTTAAATTCAAATAAAATAAATATCTTTTTATTTTATGGTCAATATCCTGAAGAAACAAAGGACTAGTCAATACAAAACAATGCTATTGACTACCTTGCTTACGATATACAAGGAACTACAAGCCAGCATAAACACAAACCTAGACTTTCCCACTTACCTGTTTACTATTTAAGAAGCCTCCATTTTCAAATGCCCATGCCCACTCGACATTTCGAAAACTCACTTGTAAAGATGCATTTTGCTTAATTTCTTTAAAAAAATTGCTCTCCTTTGTGAGTTCTGACTTGCTACATTATTTTCTCATCTTTACAGGGAGTCAACCCTGGTCTCCAAGAGCAAAAGGGCCATGCAAAAAGACAAAGATAAGGAAGTAAGCTGCTGTTACCTTGGTGAGCAAAGCTCAAGACAAGTTGTTTTTCTTTGGCACATTACAGTCACAATTAGCTCACCACCACAATTAGACACTCACATACATGTTCTTGAAAACAAGCCTTTTAAATAAAGTAGTGTAAGCATCTTTCTAGCTTAAGGATTTGAAATAGCAATTAAGCCTGCACCTTAAATCATTTGTCTCTCTAACTAGAAGAGCAAGTCCCGAGGATGTAAATCTCACCCAATGAGACATTCAAGGGCTGCCGAATGCATTATTAATTGCCAAGTAATTTCTTAATTTTAGAATCTAACTCTCAGCGCTAGAAAATAAGTAACGTGATTTATGGAGCCCACACACTCATTGCCGCTTTCTGGGAGTTCAACAACCACAGGCACATCCTGAGTAGACAGCGTCAAGGCGATTCCTACAAGCCAAAACACACAGCCGGGCTCAGCTACGGCAAACCCACTCCGTCTACTGATCACCCGAGCACTAATATTTAGAGTAGCTAAAATGCCGGCCGAACCCTGCAGCTCAGCGTCCCCCTGGGCTTACGCCGAAGCACAGCCGCATCTCTTCCCTCAGCGATTGCTGACTTTTAAGAAGGCAGGTGGCACGGGTGGAAACGCTCTGCAGCAGCCCAGGTAACTCTTTCCTGCAATTCCTCCAGCCCCCCAGCCCCCTCCCCCTACACACACACACACACACACACACACACACACACACACACACACACACACACACACACACCCCTTTCGCGGTTTTTAAGAAAGAAAGGTTTTAAATAGATATCTAAAACCTGCCAATCTGCATGGGTTTAAGAATGTATTTTTCTTATACTTGCTCCTGATGTGTAAGATGTTTCCAGATCTGATTAGAAAACCTGCCTGCGCATAAAAAGTACTGCTTTCAACAAGACCCCTTTAGTCAAATCTGCCTGATCAGACATATGTGCACATAAATTACCCATATTCTATACACATGCCTACATTAACAAGCGTGCATGCACACGCACACCAAGATCTGCAATTAATCCCCTGCTCTATAAGCCCCCTTTCACAAGCTTTTGCATGCATGTTATTCAAAAGAGAGATCTTTAGAAAAAAAAAAACGGTAAGCAGCTGCATCTAATGCACTCGAAAGTGGCATGTTAGAGAAGCAAATACGTTACCAGTCGCATTTTGAAGTTTCCAGAGCACCTGCAGGTAACAGCAGTCGGAATCAGAGGCTGGCGCGCGGTGTTCCTCGGAAACACAGAGCCTGATGTGACTGTGGGGGAATGTGAGGCGAGTGTGAGGCTGGAAACCTTTGAGTTGAGCTCACTGTAAGCATCAGAGAGCCTCAAAGAGGAGAAAGAAAGAGGCAGCCCACAGACTGCGAGACGACAAACTTCTGGCTCCTCTCCAACTCAGGAATGAATTCTCTGTAATTTGGAGATGGAGAGTTGATGGAAATGAAGAGAAACTTGGATTTCCCAGCGAATTTGCTCAGCCACGCAGAAATGGGCAGGTAACAGACGAGCTCATTTGAAAACAGTCGTTCAGGAGTCAGTATCGAATAAAAATATTAACAGAAATTCTTGTTGGAAAAATATTAAAAGGCTACTCCAGCCAGCTTCCCCAGATGCCTTTAGAGACCCCAAATGGATCATTCCATCAGCTATTTGCTGCACATTTTATTAATCCCACTGCAGAGGTAAACTGGAAAATCTAATTCCTTTTATGTAGAAAACTAGATTTATTGCTTTTTTTTATAATGCACTTTACACATATAAATACATAGGTTTACTTACAGAGCTCTCATTTCTCCCGAAAATCCACTACTGTTTAGTTCAGATAAAATGCCAAAAGGCTTATACTCAGCTTTTCATGGAGTAGAGAAGAAACTCTTAATACCAAGAAGCTGAACTGAGTGCTGGTATTTAAACAGAGAGTTTGAAGCCCAGAGAGTGTAAAGAAAGGACCCAAACCATTAAGTGGCACATCAGAGGTGCAGCCATGCACATGCCCTGAGCAGGCAGGTGGCTCACACCTATAAATATATCCATAATTAAGGACAGGAGGAATAGAGCTTCAGCAAATTACGTTGTTAAGGACAATAGACACAATTTTGTTAGAATCCCGAACAAGCTAATAATTTCTGAGGAGCACACATGGACTTCACCTTGTCTGAAGAACTCAACCCCAGACAGAGAGCAGGGTCGGCAGGCACTGCGCTCTGGCAATCTATATTCAAATGTAATGAGCAAAGGACCATATTACCATGAGGAATGTTGTCATATTACATTGTGCCTGTGTGGCTTAACTACCCATCCAACCTTGCAAATGGCCATTTGGCTGGATTCGATAGCGAATACGCTATTGATGTGAGGGAGGAGGGAGGAGGTGGGAGGCTAGTCTTATTTGTTTTACTACAGGAGCATCTTGGAGAGGCTCAGGGATAAAATGCCCAGGCTGAATGTGGGAGTAATTCTTTCCAAGGCCACACTTACCAGTAATAAATCTATAGGGGAATTAATGATGACCAATTAAGCTATTTATTATTTTTACTCCTGAGGTCAAGGGCAGCTGAGTGTTTATGTTTATTGATAAGAAAGGAGTCCATGGCCTGACTCTAAAGAAAGCTAGATTTACCTTTAAGCAGGTTCAATAAACACACATTGCCTAGGGCACTTCTAATTCTCCTCACAGCCCAGTGGCCCTTATTGTCCAGGAGTTTTTAATTCTCTCTCCCCACTGTTCGCTTCAACCTTTCATCCAACAAACATCAAGTGCGTTAGATGCCTGGTGCTGTGCAGATGACAGGTAGACCTTCCTCTAGAGCTTGTCGCTGTCAGTCTCAGAGTAGACTCCACAGAGGACATCAGAATTACTTAGGAACGTTGGTGCTTGAAGTCAGCACTTCATCTTGGAGTCCCTCTCGGTGGTGGTATGAGATGAGCAGAGAAGCATGTGCTTTGGAAGTCTCCCTAAATGATTCTGATGGAGCCTCTCTCTCCCACCCCCCACAGATGTAACTGCAATCCAAGACCCTGGTGACAAAGCCCACCAGCCATGGAGAGAGGAGCAAAGCCCATAGCATTAAGACTCAGGAACAGTTACTTGCGCTGACCGCTCTTCTGGGTGGTCTTGTGGACCATCCTACCATTGGGAAGTCCCATACTTAATCAGTTTGACCCACAGCCTGAATCTGCAAAATTCTGAGTAGATTTGGAAGTCAAAGCTGAAGGCAAAATCAAGCTTAAATCCCATGATTGATTTGCACAGCCTCTCTGCACCCCTCCCTCTTTTTCCTGTAGAACAAGAGGACAGGCTTCAAGTCTATAATTATTCTACCAAAACATAGAGGTGACCTCCTCCACTGAAGCCAAGACATGCCCCTTTTGTTCCCACCGAAGGGCAAGCCTGAGGTGCAAACATGGGATGTGTAAGTGAGCTGTACCCAGTCCCAGCTATTCATTCTGATTGAGGACAACCTTCATCCCGAGAAGTAAGGGTCCCAACACTCACAAGAGTGCCCTACACATTTCTCCAAAGGCTCACTGAGGAGTCCATACCATCAACAGTGTTTTATCAGTCGACTCTTACCATCCTTTGCTTCAGCAGTTCCCTCAGCCCCAATCACAGGGAGCATCCCTGTTAGTGGCGGATCTTAGAACTTCAATTTGGTGGACACATAAATGGCCAGAAGCCGGGCTGTCGCATGAGGCCTCCAATAGATCCTCTTGAAATAAGTGCAAGGACTGAGAAGGTGGGTTCAGTACTCACAGGAGTGTCTTCCCTGGACACTCTTGCTAATGGCTGGAGGTAAGAGATCACTCAGGCCAATCCTCAGAGATAGAGGAAGAGAGTTTGTCATATAGTCTCAGATGGCTAGACTGCCTGCCCCATCTCCTCAAGCCAGACCCTATCCCACCCCCAACTCCACCTTCACACTCACCACCACTACAGTGAGAATAAGGATGATTCAAAGCAGAGGGTCCCTTCATCCTCAGCAATGAACATCACTTCATTCCCTTGGGAAGAATCCAACCTTGATGTCTTGATGACAAAGACCATGTGATCAAGTGAGACATAAACCACCTTGTGGTTGAAAAATTGTGCACCCAAATAAACTTATCTGAGATCAGAGAACAGTCACTAGATAGACATAGAGGCCAGAAAATGGTGGTATACACTTGGGAGGCAGAGATCCATCTGAATCTCTTTGAGTTCAAGGCTACACTAGGAACAGAGCCAGGTGTGGTGGCACACACCTTTAATCTCAGCACTTGAGATCTCATGTCTTGCTTAGGAAGGACACATCCTTGCTTAGGAAGGACACATCTCAGGAAGTGATGACAGGAAGCAGAAAGGTTTATAAGGCATGAGGACCAAGAACTAGAAGCTTTTTAATCTTTTAGGCTTTTGAGCAGCAGTTCAGCTGAGATCCATTCGGGTGAGGACTCAGAAGCTTCTAGTCTGGGGATTCCTGGAAACAAGATCAGCTGAAAGGTTGGCAAAACCTTTTAGAATTCATCTACACCACCTCATGTAATAACACTATTCAACAATAACGATGTTCTGTCTACTCTTTTTTTCTTTTAAGGACATTGGAAAATCTTGAAATGAAAAGACATAACAAAGAGCAGGAATGTTCAATACAGATATTAGAGACTGACAGGCCTGTGGTAAAAGACTGACTTCTCTATTTAGTTGCCTGGTGCCTCTAGGCAAGCCCCAGGCTAGGGATATAGCTCAGTCGAGAGAGCACTTGCCTGTCATGAACAAAACCCTGGTCTAAATGTCCGCACTACATAAACCGGAGTGGTGATGTAGGTGTACAGTCCCAATCTTCAGGAGGTGGATCCAAGTCCAAGCCCGTCTTCCACTACATAGCAAGTTTGGAGCCAACCCTACAGGATATGGGAGACCCTGTCTCAAAAATAAACAAGCACTAAAGTTCCTCATGTTTCCCCCTTTGTAAAAGCAAACAAGGCTGCCTTAGCAAGTTATTGTGTGACTTAAAATATAAAAAGCACCTGACAGATCCTAAGTTACTCAAGAAAGGGAAGCTCATAACAAGCCCACTTGCCTCTGATACCTGTTGGCTTGTGGGCTCCTTGAAGGTGGGAACAAAGGTCTCTTCCACATTCCTCATACCCAGGGTAACACAGCCCTCTACAGACTTTGTCCAAAAAAAAAAAAAAAAAAAAAAACATTGAGCACCTACCTAGTACCATAATCTGGGATAGGGACCCAAGAATTCATAGCAAAGAAAACAAGGGTGGCCTATGTCCTCCTGTGACTCTGAACCCAGTGAGGATGAAAGTTCAATGGTGCCATGAATAACGGGAAAAGGTAAGTGAATTTGCTAATTAGTTCATGATAATCTTCTTAGGTTTTTGTTCATAATGACCCAGACAATGTCAAGGACACAAAAGGAAGAAAATCTGTGCGTGCTTTGGGTAATTATCTTCAAAGCTGGGGACTCGGGCTAATGGGCTGGCCCTCATTAAGTGGGAGATCTCTTCCCAAGAACAGTCCCCTGAGACTCATCACAGCAGCCCAGGCAACCTTTGATCCGCCTCACAGTCCCTCATAGCCCACCAACAGACAAAAATGTTCTGCTTCCTGACCTCATCAGCTTACGTTCAAGCTTTCTAGAATGCAATAACGTGGTGAGGGTTTTTTGGTTTTCTTTTTTTTTAACCAAGATTTTAATTAAAGTTCCAGGGACCCAGCCAAGGATATTTTTCTAAAAGAAGCAATATCTGTTTTTGGAGATATAGAACATCTTATAACAGAGATCTTATACACTGTGCTGAATGACAGTGACACAGACTGTGCCCTTCAGAGTGTGTGTGTGTGTGTGTGTGTGTGTGTGTGTGTCTGTGTCTGTGTCTGTGTCTGTGTTCGTGTGTGTGCATTCACATGTGCACTCATGCACATACTCCTGTGTGTGTTCAGTGCTCGTCCTGCTTAATGAGGACAGAGACAGGGAGACAAATGCACTCCACTTACTTAAGCCATTCAGATGTTTAAGGCAGACACTTAATGGAACAACATAAGGGCCCGTCTTTCAAGCAGGGGAGATTACCTTTTGTTCTCCCTGATGATTCCCTTTGATTTAAAAGGCTTGGCTATCAGACTTGCAGAAAACAGCAGCGGATAAGAATGTCTGCACGCGCTGGTTGGCAGATGTCAGCCACACACTTAAACCCATGGAGTGACCACGAGGGACACTTGAGTTCGATGCCACATGTACTCAATAGGAAATGGATTTAAATTCACATAAAACAC